AGAACACAGATTTTATTGCAGTTTCTTCTGTGGAAAGATGGCAAAATATCTCTTTTCTAGTAATTTAAGAGACTGTAGTTGCTTCCAAAATACTTTGATGAAAACTTCAGCTTCTGAGACAAGGGAGACTCCACTTGACTGGCCAGAGTCCAGTAGAGCTGTAGCAATTTAAAGCAGCTGAAACCATGGCCCATAATGTTGTGTTTACACCCTCAGCCCTGGAGAACATTTAAACAGGACAGATCCAAGTTTCTACAGCCAGTGGAAAGACTAACATTAATTTCAGAGCTAAACTGAGCCGTTTGCCAAGCTTTTAGATGAAATGGAGGCATAGATGAAAATAAGTCAGATTACCAGTTCTGAAAGCACAGTTTTCAGAAGGTAAACTGATTAGTGAGGCCAATCAGTCTAAGGAGTTGTAAGGTACTTCAGTTGAAGGAGAACTATAATTTATTTTCAATAAAAGCTGCAAGGAACTCTCTGGAATTCATTTCACAAGGAAAGGAGGAAAACTTGCAAGAAGGGGCTACAGACCAAAATGGATGGAGAATCCCCTTAGAAAGTCCAGCACAGCTAATAAGCAAAGAAAACTTTGGTTTGGAGGCCAGGAAGCACAAAGCTGGGGTAAACATTGCCAAAAGTCAAACTGAATTAGAAATTTGCAGAGGAAATTAAATAGTAATAATAAAAGGAAATAATAAAAAAAGTCATTTAGCTATTGAAATAAAAAATATTTTACAGACAAGAAGAAAAGAAGTGATGTTTTTACACTGAGAGGATTTGAGTTGGTGTAGGTGTGTGAAAACACTAAATGAAGCTCAGCTTTGGTTTTCTGTAAGAACATTAAAATCTGGGGAAAAGGAGGACAGATATGGGATGAGTGTCAGGAAATTGAAAATACCTCCTTGGTGGAGATGCAAAACTCTGAGAGCTGGCAGGGAGCAAATCCCTCACTGCAGGACTCTCGGAGACCTGGCAGCCAGTCCACATAATTTTGTCAAGCTGTGAAGGAGAGGAATCCACATGACTTGAGAACTATAGTAAATATAGTAACCCTAATTAAGAAAGTGAACTTGTATCTAAAGGCCCATTAGCTTGATTGTAATAGTATGCAAGAGTACATGACAAATTTTAACGGAAGGGAATGATTAATGATATGATGATTAATGAAAAATGAAAGAAAGAACAACAGCTTGTTGTTCTTCCAGCTGAAGGGTACCAGGCCAGCATAACACCTCTGCTTTCAAGAGAGCTGGTTGATTGCTTTAAGGAAGGTAGTTGCATCCAAGTGAAGCTGTCCAAACATCTGAGAAGCACTTGGGATGTGGGAAATCATTAGGTGAAATGGAAAAGACAAAAAGGAAAAACACACAAATTGCAGAAAGAAAGAAATTGCTTTAAAGTGAGATGGCAAGGGGCTGTGCTGAAGGACATCTTGTAGCTTTTTCTGGGAACCAGCGTCTTTTCACAGCTCTTTCGATAAAAGACTATGGTTGAAAAAATAGATGTGTGTTAATGAAATCTGCTCTTTAGGCATTTGCAGGTGACAACACGGTGCAGAAACACATCTGAACATGGTGCAGGTAGAAACAAATAACCTACAGGTCTCTGAAATAGTGGTACACTCATTTCAAGATCTTGCCTTTAACATCTAACAGGAGGATTTCTGCAGTAGTCTGGGGGTTCACTACTACATCTCTGCAGGAGTCTGAGGAAGTGACAGAGAAGAAGAAAGAACAGCTACTGTAATTCACTTACAGGAGTTACTGTGAGTAATAGATTCATGCTCAAAGTCATCATCATGGCTGGGCTTCGTGAACAAAGATTTGAGAAGGACTCTACCCACATTTGCTACAAGCGCGCTGGTGACTAAAGAGACCAATGCGAGATAGACAAATACGGTTGCAAAAGACACAGCAGAAAGACTCCTTGCATGGTATTGGCAAGACACGATTCTTTCTGCATTGTATTTTCTCCTCTAGAGTTATCCTGCATGCGTTCTCAAAAGAAGAAGCAGCATTATATTGTGCCTCCAGCCCCTCATCCAGGAAAAGGGTGAGAAGGGCTGAGTACTCTCCTCAGCCTGGAGGGCTGTCTGTCTACATTTCTTAAGAGGGGGTTCTAACCTATAAGATGTAGGTGAATCTGGGGTATGGACATAATTCACCTTTTGTGTTCAAGTAATGCCACTTGGCATCTGAAAACTAAATCTTTGTGAGGTTAGGGGTAGAGGAAGTCAGAGAAATGAGCTTATAAAAAAGGGCTTGAGTGAGAGGAAGATAGGCAGGCAGAGCAAAGAGCACGAACCTTGTTCTCTTAAAAAACTGGAATATATAGTCAATTAAAATGAACAGTTAGCCCTTTCCCAGAGACAGGACTTACATGTAAAGACATAGCTAGTGTATCCCATACACACATAGGTGTTGGAATGGGTGCCCATCCACCCATCTTATCTATCTGTCATTTGGGTTAGCTCTTTGGGTGGAATTCATCCCACCTGATCAACATGGGGAGTTAGGTGGAAGCTAGTTATCCAGGTGCCTCCATGACCAGAGAAAGGAGACAGGGGTTCAGCATTCCTACCTGGTATGCTCGTCCCACATTGAGCCCAGCTTGCTGTCTTCACAGGTATCTTTGATGGTTGGAGGGAGAGCTGGACAGCCAGCTTAGATGACATACCCTGTGTCTGAGAGCTAACACCAAGTGAGACAAATCCCACCATGTGCACCTTAGTGCACAAAGATCGCAGTCATGAAAACTTGGGCTCCTCTGGGGTTCAGCTGTTTTGGGGAATTGTACCTGGAAAAAAGTGGGATGGAGAATGAAGATCAGCCTGCCTGTGAGAGACTTCAGGCCAAACAGTTGTGGATCAAATAGTTTAATAGCTCAATTTCTTCACTGGTAAAGATGATAGACTTTTGCATGTTCAGCAAACCTAATCTCTTCATTTAACTTCAAAAATTTACAAGCTCTTCTGGCATAGTTGGTGGAGTTTGTAACCTTTGTGATCAGATTAAGCCAAGAGAATATATGTATTATGATGTTAGTTTCCCCTCCTTCCACATTTAAAACAGAAGGAAAATAAAAGTAAACAACTACCATCAAGAGCAAAAACCAGAGCATTCAAATCCCAGAAATCTCACAAATCAGAGAGCTCACTGCAGAAATAATTCTCATCCCATTTATCTATCTCCTTTCTGTGAGAAGTGTTTATCATCTATATGTAGCAATACCACAGAGATTATTATTTTACAGCTGGCGACATCCACTTCAGAAATATCATTTCTATTTCAGGGCTTGATTTCTCAACCTGATTTTTTTCATTATCTTTAATGGTTTGCTTTTCATTATCTTCCCATTAGGAAATGACAAAATAACTAGGAATGCCAGTTTTGCGCAGGAGTTGACTTACCATACACCTATTCATTTTCCTGTTTGCATTTGTGTAACTAGGCTCAGCATGTATAGATAAACAAAGAAGAGTCCTGTAGGTCCAGACATAAGTCAAATATAAAGAAAGAAGCAAGTAAGCCAAGCTAACTCCTGCCAAATAATGCCAAATACTTCTGAGTTCGTTGGATATATCAATGTACCCAAGAAGCTGAAGTAGGTTAACAAGCAAAATGCTAAGAGGGAATATTGCAGGAGGTTATGCCTACTCTGCATTCAGAGGCCAGTCTTGCTGCCCCAGTGTGTGCCACACACAGCAGAGATGCAGCAGTCCTAGGGAAAGGAGCAGTGAAAACGTACCTCCTAGGCACATGGGACCCCTGCACTTCAAACATCCCTGAGTGTCCATTGCCCACACACACCTCTGGTACAAGCCACCCACAAGCAGCCTCTGAAGGTTGCCACTGCAATGGGGTGGGTTGGGATAGGGTGGGAAGCATGGATGTCCTGGAGAGTATTTTTCAAGGCAGTAGAAAGCTTTTGAGTACAAGGTTTGATTGAAAAAGACTCACCTCAAAACACTTCACAGGGAAAAGCAATATCAAAGCCTCAGGAGTGCTTAAGGTGGAAATTCTGGTATCACCTTTAGAGGTTTCACACTGTGGGAGTCTGATCCAACAACCAGGATGGGAAAGAGATTAGCCAGGATCCTTTCTATGGGGGCAGAAAAGTACCCAGCACTGTAAAGGTGCCATTAGAAAAGGAGAAAGTGTCTTTCACCTCTTCTTCTTCAGCTTATCATTGTTGTGAGGATTGTTTAAAGCAACAGCATTCTTGTACCTCCTCTGACCCTTGTGTCAAGATGAAGCTCTTGCTACATGAATAACACCCCGAAACACCTCTGGTATTGACAACCCACTGCTTAACTGAACGGAGCCCTAAGCCATGGCAGTTTCATGAACACCTAATTTTTTTTCAGAAGAGATAGTAAGTATTGGCTTCCAGGAGTCAAGATTGGTGAACTGTTGAGGGTTGACCTTGGCCAGATTCTAGGCAACCATGAAAATCACTAAGAGCTGGGAGAGGTCACACAGGCAAGACAGACTCAATATGGGGATAATACTAAAATTTAGTACTAACAGGATAAGAGCTAAAGAGTGAGAAATAAAACAGTCTTAAAAACACTTTCCAACCACCTCTCCTTCCTTCTATGTTCTCCCTCCTCCCTCTGCATGAGTTCAGGGAGAGGAGTCCATCCATAGGGCAACAGGTCTTCCAGGTTTGCTGTCCTATGAGTCACCCTTCCATGGGTTGCAGGAGGACAGCCTGCTCCACCACGGTCTTCACCATGGGCTACAGGGGGCTAAAGCTCTGAGTTCTCCTTCCCCTGTTCTCTGGAGTTCGTCCCACAGGAAACAGTCCTTGATGGACCTCTCCCACGTGGGTTCCCCTGCCAGGCCGCAGGTCTTCCATATCTGCCGTCCCAAAGTTCATTCCTCCATGGGGTGCAGGGCATCTCTGCACCTCAATGGGTTTTCCATAGGATGCAATCCTTGATGGATGAGTTGCACTGATATGGGTTCCCCACAGGGCCATGAGTCGAGTCTTACCTGGGAGTAACCTGCTCCAGCCTGGGCTCCTCTCTCCACGGGCCACAGATCTCCTGCAGGAGCCCACTCCATACTGGGTGGGCTCCCACGGGTGACTGTCTTCTCTCATGCACCCATCTGCTCCATCATGGGCTTCTCGCGGGGCGAGCCCGGGGGCTGCGGGTCTACTCTGCCTCCCTGGCCTAGGCCACGGCGCCCCCGCATCTCTCGGCCCAGCCACTCCCGCCCATGGTGGGGAGGCGGCGGGGCCGCACCAGCTCAGCCGGCTAGGCTTAGCCGGCAGGATCGGTTCCAGCACAAGCTGTTCGTGGGGCGGGCCCGGGGGGGAGCTGCAGGGCCTGTCTCTGCGGCCCCGGCCTCGGCCCTGGCCCTGGCCACCCCTTCGCAGGGGCCACTGCTGCCAGCTCCGGGCTACGTGCCGAGAGGCCTGGGCCAGCTTATCGCTGCCCTCCCACAGGGGGCGGCGGCGGGGCAGCCTGGGAGCTTCGGTCTGCTTTCCCTGCCTCAGTCAGTCTTTTTAGAGTATTGAACAATACTCTATAGACACAGGCCAGGCCCCAGTACAGCGTGAGAAGTTGCTGGTTTTGATAGGGGTAGGCAAGGCATCCTTCCATCAAACGACGTGTCAGTTTGTTGGGGTTGAATACTTGTTCTGATGTGAAGTCCCAAGCAACAGGGGGTGTTAGATGCCCTAAGAACCTGCCTAAATTCATCCACATCCCTTGCCACCCAGGAACTGGCCCCTTTAGAGAACACCCCAGTAAATTCTCTCTCGAGGTTAGTTTTGTCCTAGTACAAGGCAACAAAAACAACACTACCTTCCCCACTCCCCATAATGTTTTAAGAACATTGGTTATAAGCAGTAATATAGCCAGAAAACTCAGGTAAGGATTAGTAAGAATCGCAGGTCCTTTCATTACGAGGCCCTCTATGTCAAAATTAAGAAGGGAAAAAGATTGATTTTTTTTCTCCTTTGTCCTTTAAGGGATAAGTTCCACATCCTATCAAAACTGTTAGTAAAATTACAGGAACACCCACCAGAACTTGGCGAACTGCCATGTTTTTGTTATATATTCCCAGGTTAGCAAAACAAATAGATAAGTGAGGCAGTTGTTATATAAACAGTCTTCTCTTGGCTATCCTGCCGGGTTTCGGCACCAAAATTTGTGGTTCTTTACTTTGGCTGAACGCCAGGTGTCCACTGAGCCTGCACAGATTCCCCTCGCTGGCCCCCAAAGGTGAGACGAAAGTAAAAAAGTGTGAAAAAACCAGGGCTTATCAAGGAAAAAAGTTTGTATTCACACGGAGAAAAAAGAAGAGACTAATAACGCTACAAACACACAGGCAAAGAAAAATAACAGTAAAAAAATTCTACCCCCCCCACGGAGCGGCATCTCAGACAGGTGCAGCTGTCTGTCGGGCCATCCCGGAAAGAGAAGAAGGGCTGAGTTAACTCTGCCTTCTCTTTTATAGCTGGACAGACATAATGTGGTGTGGAATATCCTGTTCCTCCTGGGAAAAGGAAGTGTTATTTAACTACACAAACCCACTATCATATTTTCCAAAAGTGCAACTGTAAGACAAAGATCATCATGAGAAAGGACCCACAATCTTAGTCTGGGACTTTTAGCTTCTGTCTGGAGTAAAATGTGAGTAGTAGTAGTAAAATCCCTACTACATGTCAGGCATGTCAGTCTCTGTGAGCAATTTTGAGTTCATTGCTGAGTTAGGACATTTGAACATGAATCTAGGTATATATCTTCTTTTCCATAAAATCCAGAAGATTCTAACTAGAGCTTTGGTTTGAACTTGTCTTAAGAAATCTCGTTCTTTGTTTTCACTCTCTAGACTCAGTTTTGAAGTTATTCCACCATTTTTGCCTATGTGCATATGCATTCATATGCATATATATTGCTCTTCCACCTTTTTTAAAGAATGGCCTTCTTTTCGTAACTAAAAATCAGTATGTATGCCTGCATTTGATAGCTTGCAACTTTAAAGCTTGCAAACTGATTATTTTTACCATTACTTCACTAACCTCCTAAAAAAGCTGGATTTTACTACCTTTCTCTTAGGCCATCTGTCACAGGAGCTTTTTGACTCACTGCCCATTGCAATCACATTTGACAGAAGGACAGAAAGTTTTGATAAAATTAGTATCTATGTAGAGGAAAAGATTAATTTCTTCAGTGAAGGCAAATTTTCAGGGTATCAGTTCCTCCATCAGCTGGCATATTTCACCTGAACACCAAGCTCCCCAGCTATCTGCTGGTGGGATTCAGCAAAGAGTTCAGATGGGAGGACTGGGGCATGAGTGGGTGGAGGGCAGGGGAAGAAGCTGGAGTCTTTTTGGGGACCATAACCATGAGTTACTGATGGTGTTGCTCTGAGGTAAAGATAGGCTGTTCTCATATGCTGAAACTAATTAAGAAACGTGCTACAACCTGGCCACGTTGTAAACATGGAAAGAAAATGGTATCACGGCCCCTTCGAAGGCCGTGTTAGTGTACCTAAACAGTTCCCAGACAGCCTTTGTATTCCACCAAACTCCCATTTATTTTTCTATTGCTGGGAATAGACCAAAAATATATCACTTAGAAGTGATTTTTCTATTTCTGAATGAAGGGGAATTTTGCTTTTTATGTGTCTTCTTGGTTGGCTGAATTATATACAAGTGCCTGCTTCCTGTGGCTAAACATGGAATTAACCTATATGCAGACCAGCAATCTCTTTTTGATATATTTCTACAGTGGAATAATAATAAAGTTCTCACTAGATCCCTGATTTTAGCTCTTTTTAAAATTAAATGTAGTGTCTTTTTTGCCCTTCTTTAGAAATAGGGTGCAAAAGAACATTGGTGACTTCTAGATCAGCTCCGGTTCAAGTCTTTCACAAACAGGACAACCCAATGTTGCCAAGATCAACAGTACTTCTTATTTCCTTATGTGAAAGTGGATGTATTCACGCTTGCTTTTTCTGATTGACAGGCTCAAATCTTTGCTGTTGCCACCCATAGCAAGCTCTGATACGTGTTTAGGCATCAGCTTTAACACTAGGGCTCTGCCTGCATCAGCACAATGCTATTCTGTTCCCCATCATATGGATCCTGAGCACTTTTTCTCTTAGTGCTGTGGAGTCCAGCTCAAGTTTCAGTTTTATCTTCTCCCAGGACAACATGTTTTGGTGGCGACATACAATCCTCCTGCAGAGCATGGAGGAAACCTCATGGTCAGCTGCAGCAACTTCTGCTGTGACATAGTTAATGCTGACAATAGGCACCATTATTAGACATTGAGCTGACCCTGCAGGATGAACCTGCAAGAGGAAAGTGCAAGTGATTTAGTCACAGTTACGATGTCACTATCATCCCCCATCTTCTTTCTGCTATTTCTTCACTCTACTACAGTTTCATTATGACTCTCAAAATTCCATCATAGGCGAGTTCATAACTTGTTGTGTCTGAATTAGTGGTTGCTATGTAACTTGTGCAACAACTTATCTTATTCTTAGTAGTGGCTAAAACTTTGCCACTTTTCTTCCTGGCCATGTCTTTACATCAGGTACCAAGAAAACACCTTCCTGCAGCATCTCAGAGCACCCAACACACATGTCTCTGGCTGTTTCCTTACGTGCTGCACTCTGCTGAGCAGGAGTATTCACAGTCATGAGTCAAGCCTCTGCTTGAGAGTCTCCAAAAAAACAACAGTAATTCTAGGTAATTGTATTCTCAAGCAAATTTTGGGGAATTACAGCTTGCAACTTGTTTTATAGGAATATAGGAGGCATTGTTCTTATGTTCCTGTGAATCAGGTTCTCCCATCCCCACAGGAGCCCAAGAATCCCACTATTTTAATTGCAGCCTGCTCTGGATCCAGAGAAGCATGGAAAGCTCCTGCAGTGCCTTTTTTTCTGGCTTGCTCTGAGTATGAAGGCAAATGAGACATATAGTTAATCTTTACCAGGGAAGGCTAGACAGAGGACCTTGAGCTATCTAGCTGCCAGCTAGTGCTGCCTTGGCAATAGTTTAATGGGCAGCGGCCTGTACTTGGATGATTTCAAAAAGAGATGTAATCAACCATTCACTATCTTTCTTCTTTCCATTAAGTTCAAAGTACTATATAATCACTTCAATTTTCTTTCAGTGGTGATAAGGCTCAAGTATAAACCACAAAGCCTGAACTCTCAGTCAGCTTCCATGATTTATCCTGGATTTATCTTCAACCATCATCAGATTCTGTCTTTCTGCCTGACCCCATATGGAAACTAGCCTCCAAGGAGGGTCAAGTGTTCACTTTCATACTCCTCTGTGCTGAAATGCTTTTCCTGGCAAGATTAGATAAAGCAATTGCTTTTCATTTCAGGCCATCCCAAGTAGATGCTTTATAAAAAAAAAAAAAATCAACCTTAAAGCAATTTTTCTCATTTGCTATAGGTTTATTGAGTGAGACAATGGCCAGGCTATTTTTATAGTCACTGGGCCAGGAACAAAGCCCAGTAATTTACTCTGCTTGTAGGAAAAAAACCATATTTTTATCTCAAAAAGGCATTTAGAGGGTATGTCAAAGACTTGTTTTCCAGTCACTACCTGTTCAGAATCTGCAATATGACTCAGACACAGACCCAGTAAAAGCATTAAGGGGTACAGTTTAATTAAGTACAAGTTAAATAAAATTTGCGTTATTCATGCATTTTATATTGAAAACCCATTGATGGAATAGAGTGGCAATGTTGGCAATGGAGACAGAATTTTCCCTTCCCTGAGTCCATGTGGCCCTCCTCTTGCTCACCAGAAGCTTGTTTTCCTTGCAGCAGCACCAACCACACTGGAGAGGAGAATGTCACTAGTTTTCTAACAGCATAGAGTGGGAACACCAGCTGGAACAGTCTCCTGATATGTGGGAAATGAAAGTTCATACCTCTGTGAAGAAAATATTAAGGACCTCCCTTCCTGTGTGAATGTCCTTGCCACTTGGCTCTCAGTGAGTTTGTCTTTTAAAGGTGGGATCACACTTTCCAATGGTTTCTACAATGTACCTGAAAGCCTGAGGAACCACCACGTTGCAAGGACTCATGCACATGGTGATTCTCTGTCTGCCCAGCTGCTCCTCAGCCCCACCAGTCTGTGACTCCTGGACCCCACAACTGCTACCCTAGACCTGTGCAGAGCAGCTGCTCCTGCTCCCTAGACAAAAAAGAGTGTTACGACCATGCTGGCAGGTGTCGGGCTTATCCTTCTGTCTGGACACCAGACAAACAAACATCCACCTGCTGAGGTACATAGCCCATGCCTTCAGCCTGGCAGTGATACTGCACCACTTTGAATGATGCTGCTGTCCTGCCATTCTTTGCTGCAGCTCACAAGAGGGATTTCTATATCTCTGCATCTTTGATGCAGTGGCTGTGATGCCAAAATGTGGTCAAATTGACATTCTTCCTTGGAAAGAATGTCTTCACACTCTTCCTCTCCACACTGTCTGAACTGTAGCAAGTGTGAAGACAGGGTCTGATGCATGCAGTGCGCTGTTGATTTGGCCACGCCATGCCTCCTTGCCTGGGGGAAATTTCTGGACCCAAAGGTCATGCCTCCACTTTCAGTGTGGAGGCTACTGCAAAG